CACTCACACACACACACACACACACGCACACACACTCACACACATACACACACACACACACTCACATACACACATTCACACACACATACTCATATACATACTCAAACACAAACTCATACACGTACCCATACACCAAGGCATACAGCGCGCTCTCATACACATACAAACCCCGACACATAACCACTCTTGTAAATTATGCTTTTTTATAGGGGGGGGGGGTCGGGTTGGGAGATTTTTTCAAGTAAGGGGAGGTTGTTTGTTTCTTTGTTGCTTTTCGTTGTTGGTGGTGGTTGTTTTGTTGTTGTTTTTTCGGGGGGGGGGGGTGGTTGGGGTTGGGGATTTTCAAATACTTTCCCCTATTATGTTCTAGCTTATTTATAATATCTGTCCCAAAATAAAAAGACTGAGAAGAAGAAGCTTGAAGCACCGGGCACTGTATAAAAGTACTTGGCGGATTGATTCTGGGTATAACTAGATCATCGGGGGTTTTTCCTTCACAAGTAGGAGAAAGAGCATCTCGGAAGTTAGTGAAGCGTTCATCGTTTGTCAGACCGCGGGTTGAGTCAATCGCAGTGTGACGATGTGTACCCAACGCAGAAGTGGGAAAAAGACGAAAGTCGCATAGAGCTTGGTTCCTAACTTTAACTGATCGGGGACGCGCATTCTGATTATTCGGCAAAGTTGGAAGAAGTTGTGGTTTGGGGCACTTTTAAAAAGGAGCATGACTTCGTTATTCATACAGATTTGTTTCAAATTTGGTACCTTAATCTAAAACTAAAAGGGAAAGCAACAACGTGCATACAATGAAATAACGTGCCAAACGGTGTGTCTGGTGTGTGTATCATGATTAAAAATAAGCCCCAACACTGTTGCTGATCAGATACTAGTGTCTGCTACATCTCTTAATAGTTAAGAATGCCACCAGTCGAGCTAAGGTTAACGTACGGATCTTAGGACCGTGCACATCTGACTTCTACTGAAGTGTAACTTCCCTGTTGTTGACATGGAACTTATTGGTTTTTATAACCTTCATTGTTCACACTTACTTAATGGCTTTTTGCCCGGGCCATGACAGCAAGCAGCTAATGTGAGATATATGGGTAGTCTCTGTCTCACACACTCACCGAGCATGAGTTCTATCATTGAAGTGGTTAAGAGGTTCCGAATGAAATTGGGGGTCAAATGCAAATAAAATGTCAATGTATTCTAAGGTGCACACATAGGCCATAAAAACCATAGGAAATAAATTATTATGTTTTTCTTTGTTTGTGTGTGTTTGTGTGCGTTTCTTTGCTTGTTGCTTTTTTTTATTGTTTTGTTGTTTTAATTATTATTGTTATTGTTGTTTGTTTGTTTGTTTGTTTGTTTGTTTGTTTGTTTGTTTGTTTGTTTGTTTGTTTGTTTGTTTGTTAGTATTTTTAGGGGTTTATTTTTCGGGGGGGGGGCTGTTTCGGATTCTTTTTTTGGGAGGGGGGGTGGGGTCTCTTCTTGTGCGGTTGTACTTTTGATCAAAGCTTTTATATACAGATGCTCTCACGATACACAGATACACCCGAAGGGTGGCCTTGACCGGTATTTAAGGCTAATTGAAGCCAAATGGTAATGCCGGTAAAATTCCCCGCTAGAACTTTTGGTTTGCCAAGAGGGTCGTGATGAAATTACCCACTTCCGAGGCCCCTGTAGGCCTGCAGGCAGTGTCGGTAAGGAGCTGGTCCTTGATTCTCCTGGCAGATTCGTGACGTCAGCTTTCCTCGACTCTTTCCATGAATTGTGCCCTAATTTGTCATGTCAATGATGAGAGCACCGGACTTGCCATAAGGTCTGCTGTCGAACAGATCATCTCTGACGGAAGATAGAACGGTTGTCTCGTCAAATGCCTTCATGTCTCTTCCCCTACCCTCTCATTGGAGTACGCCTTAGAGTACACGACACTAACAATTTTGACTATATTATTATGTTTAATACAATGATAGTTGCTAGTGGCACGGTTTATAACTTTATTAACCCAGCAGCATTTTATTCGGGGCTTTCAGAACAGACTCCTCCTCACACACGATAGGTATTTTAATTAGAAATGATGAGTTAAGTTAAACCACTGCTTGCCAACCTAGGCAATATCGTCCACAGGGGGATGTTTTTGTTGTTTTGTTGTTGTTGTTTTTTGGGGTGATTCTGGCAGACAGCAGAGATCACCCTGTTTGTGACAAGTGTTATTTTATTCCCCACTGGGAAATACATGAAGGTGGGCGGTCTTAAAGTTAACAAATATGGACGCTGGCTATGAAAAGGTTGACAAAGACTGAAGGGTTAAGAAAGTCATAGGGTGTCAAATTGATACGAAACAAAAACCAATGTACAATCCTAGCTAGAATACCCTGTCCTAATATACTCTCCTAAAGACTTCTATTAATGGACCAACTTTTGAAAAAGAGATATACCAAGAAGTGGTCCTTAGCAGAAGATAGCCCCACATTCTTGAGCACGCAAAGTTCCCTAAGCTTTGCATTTTGCAGTCGTAAAAGAAATCCATTACTTCCTACACTCTCAGTCATGACCTGTGACGCCAACACAGGCAGGGAAGAATTGTGTATAATATTCCTTCGGAGACTCCATGCGTTGTGAACTTTCCATTTTGATCAACATTGTTTTTATTTTCATTTGTCTACATATGGAGTCAGAAAAACAAGCGCAGGACTCTTTTCACTGTTTCATCGAGCCAGAAAAGAGCATGGTTATCAAAGCGATCCCTATGCACAAACTTGAAGCGGCACAGAGGGAGGGCGGGAGGGATGCTCTATAAACGCCATATTGAAGAGCCGTTTAAAAAGGGGAAACCTCATCAAGCAGCGTTGACAGGGCTTTAACTCGTAAACAGACAGAAAATTACAACCAAAAAAAAAAAAAAAGAAGAGCCATATCTATGTGTCCAATTGCAGGCCTTCGTATGATACAAAGAGCGTTTCTTGTATCTTCTGTATAGTTAACTGACACTGTCGCCTTTAAAAGATTGAAATATTAAACGTAAAGTGCAAGGAGATACAGAGAAGAGGGTAAAAGACAACAAAGAGCAATAAAGAGCGCAAAGAGAAACAAAGACAGAAAAGGCCAAAAAATCAAACAAGTCATCAAAAGGATAATTTAAGTGAAATGTGGAAAATAAAGACGGAGAGAGAGGGGGGAGAGAGAGGGAGAGAGAGAGGGGAGAGAGAGAGAGAGAGAGAGAGAGAGAGAGAGAGTGTGTGTGGGAGGGGTGGGCTTGCGGGGGAGAAAGAGCGAAAAGGGAGGGAGCTGAAGAGATGGAGTATTAAAATAGAGGGGGTTTGGGGTAAACTGATTTAAGAAGAATAACTAAGGATGATTAAAACAATTAAGCAAAAACATAATTCACACAAAATTAAGGATAAAAGCTGGATTGGAAAAGAGGGAGATGGACGGGAGAAACTAGGAAAAAGTTAGAAGCCCGAAACTGAACGGATCGGGAAAGAAATGAAGAAAGCAATAACAGAACTAGTTTTAAATTTTCCAGAGAAAAACTACCCTAAAATTTCTGTGAACGAGGAAAGGGGAGGAAAAGAAATCAAGATAGTCACGAATGACAGAAAGAAGATCAAAAAGATAAATACATAAAAGCGGCAGAGAGGAGAAAAAAATTAATCGTAATTCATGAAAGAGAGAAAGGAATTTCAGAAAGACTATAAGAAGTAGAGAGATGAATGAAGGAGAAAGGTGAGACGTGAATGACAGAAGAGCCCTCAGAAAGACGGAAAGACTGAAAGAAACAAAGAGTTAAAGGAAAGAACGGCCTGTGAAGGCTGCGTGAGTCGGCAGGAGGTCGTCCGCCATGACAGAGGACAACGGGCTCGGCTGCGGCTCAGCCACCGTGTAATCTCGTCAATCGCGAGAACGCTGCGAGACAACAGCTCAATCGACGACGCCATTTTGTTCCTTCTTTCTGTCAACGCTCGGTTTTTCTGTCTTCCCCCAGAAGCCGAAAGGAGTGGGGGTGGACGAGGCTAGGAGTAGAAAAAAGAGGGGGGAGGGGGGCAGCTCGATCTTCTAAAGGGACGAACTCGGGTCATCTTTCATGTCAGTGCTTTCTTGATTCAGTCTTGTTACACAGAGTTTTTCATTTACGCTTATTTCTTTATTCTCTTTTTCAACTCCAATCACTCATATATTTTTTGTAAAGTCTGTATTCCTGCTGTTATTTTTCTGATCAAAGGAGCTAATGTATTGTACGACGATGAAGGGTAACAAGATTCCAGAAGAGCTTAGTCACGATTTGCAAAGTTTTAGTGTGGCTTAATGTTTTTTGCTGCACAGGAATCCCAGCAGGTGCTGTGTCCTTCGTCTGGCACAGAGACGACCAAGTAAAAGCATTACGTCTTCTTATGTTGAAACTCAAGGGAAGATTTTAGCGGCATGTGACGCAAATCAGTGATACAGAGAAAGAAATGCACTTTTATTTAATGCTACTCTCAGAGTAGGTGGTCGTTGGGTGTTCTGGTGTGGTTTTTCTCCTTCTCTCCTATCAAACATCTATCTATTGTCCTTATCTCTCTTCCTTCTTTTCTCTGTATATGTTGTTCTCTAGAAGAACCTCTAAACTTCAGCGTTTAAACGACTTATTTATGTTGCACGTGCCGTAAAACTCTCACTTTTTAAAAATAACATTCTCCGTTTGTAACCCTAGCACATGATATTAATAGATGACAGTATACACAATGATATGTAAGTGTCTTGTCTACTTTCATTTACTGTTTTCTTGATTTAACCAAGCAAGTTCGAGTGGCTGTAAGTTTTTAAAAAATCAGTTTGAGCGTCTACATGGGAGGGCAAAGTTTTGTAAACACAGAGGTCTTCTCTGCAAGACCAGCTCACTGTTGTCGTTGTTGTTGTTGATGTTGTTATCGTTGTTGTTGTTGCTGTTGTTGTTGCTGTTATTATTATTTAGTTGAAATTTCTACCTTTTCCAACACTGACATAGGTTGACAGTTCCACTGTCAGCTGGCATAGTAAACAGATTTGAACGAGGCTGATGTTGTCCATCATGTTGACAATGTTATGTTTGTTTGTTTGTTTAGTATAGGGTTTTACGGCGCTCGCAACTGCATAAGGTCATATGAGCGCGCGGGACACAGCTAATA